GAAGTTGGATTCTTAACAACTGAGCTGCTTAAGTTCCACCGCCATTTAGGGATTTCATTGAATCTGTAGATCACTTCGGGTAGTATGGACATTTTAACAAGATTAAATCTTCTAATTTATTAACATTGGATATCTTTCCATTTATTTGTACCTTCTTCAATGTTTTTTTCACTAATGTCTTATAGTTTTCAGAATATAGATCTTTTACTTCCTTAAGTTTATTCCTGGGTATGTAAATCTTTTTGGTGTAATTGTAAGATTGTTCTCTTAATTTCTCTGATAGTTATTAGTGTATAGAAACACAATAGATTTTTGTGTATTGATTCTGCATCCTGTAATTTATTTCAGTTTTGTGTGTGTGTATGTGTGTATATGTGTATATGTGTGTGTAGTCTTTAGCGTTTTCTATGTATATCATGTATACATAGAAATGTATAGTGCTGGGGTGCCTGGGTGGCTCAGTTGGTTGAGCATCTGACTTCGGCTCAGGTCATGATCTCACGGTTCGTGGGTTCGAGCCCCGCGTCAGGCTCTGTGCTGACAGCTCAGATCCTGGAGCCTGCTTCGGATTCTGTGTCTCCTTCTCTCTGTGCCCCGTCCCCGCTCATGCTCTCTCTCTCCCTCAAGAATAAATAAAACAGGGGCGCCTGGGTGGCGCAGTCGGTTAAGCGCCCAACTTCAGCCAGGTCACGATCTCGCGGTCCGTGAGTTCGAGCCCCGCGTCAGGCTCTGGGCTGATGGCTCAGAGCCTGGAGCCTGTTTCCGATTCTGTGTCTCCCTCTCTCTCTGCCCCTCCCCCGTTCATGCTCTGTCTCTCTCTGTCCCCCAAAAATAACTAAACGTTGAAAAAAAAATTTTTTTTTATAAAAAAAATAAATAAAACATTAAAAAAATTTTTTTAAATGTATAGTGCTTTCTATGTATATCCATGTATTATCTGTAAATCATGACAGTTTCACTTCTTCGTTTCCAATTTGGATGCCTTTTTTTCCCCCTTTTGATACCTAATTGTTCTGGCTAGGACTTTCAATACTATGTTGAATAAAAGTGGTGAGTGGGCAGTCTTGTCTTGTTCCTGATCTTAGAGGGAAAGCTTCCAGCTTTTCACTTTTGAGTATGAGGTTTGCTGTGGGCTTTTCATATATGGAATTCATTATGTTAAATTCCCTTTACACCCACCTTGAGAGTTTTTATTGTAAAACATGTTAAATTTTGTCAGCTGTTTTTTCTGCATCTATTGAGATGATCATATGATTTTGCTCCTTCATTTTGTTATGTCACGTGGTGACGTATCACGTTAACTAATTTGCAGATGTTGAACCATCCATGCATCCCTGGAATAAATGCCACTTGATCACATATACAATTCTGTTTATGTATTGTCGAATTTGGCTTGCTTATATTTTGTTTGAGGATTTTTGCATTTATAGTCAATAGGGATATTGGCCTGTAATTTTCTTTTATTATGCCATCTTTGTCTGGTTTTGATGTTAGGGTAATGCTGACTTCATAAAAGGAGTGTCAAGTTCCTTCCCCTTTTCTTTTCTGGAAGAATTTAAGATTGTTATTCTTCTTTGAATATTTGGTAGAATTCACCAGTAAAGCCATATGGTCTTGGACTTTTAGTTTGTTGGGAAGTTTTTGATTACTGACTCAATCTCCTTCATAGTAACTGTTCTGTTCAGATTTTCTATTTCATCGGGATTCAGTCTTGGTAGGTTATATGTTTCTAGGAATTTACCCGTTCCTTCTAGGTTGTCCAAGTTGTTGGCGTATAACTGTTCATAGCAGTGTCTTAGGATCCTTTGTATATCTGTGGTATCAGTTGTAACATCTCTTTCATTTTCTGATTTTTTGAGTCCTCTCTCTCTTTTTGGGTAAGTGTAACCAAATGTTTGTCAAGTTTATCTTTTCAAAGAAAGAGCTTTTAGTTTCATTGATTTTCTTTCTATCTTTTTAGTCTCTATTTCATTTATTTCTGCTGTAATCTTTATTATTTTCCTCTACTGACTTTGGGCTTCATTTGTTCTTTTTCTAGTTTCTTGATGTGTAAAGTTAGATTGTTGGACACTTTTTGTTTTTTGAGGTAGGCACTTATCACTATGAACTTCTTGGAACTGCTTTTTGCTGCATTACCTCAATTATAGTATGTTACATTTCTATTTTCATTTGTTTCAACTATCTTTTGATATTTCCTTTGATTTCTTCCTTGACCCATTAGTTGTTCAGTAGCATGTTGTTTAATCTCCACAGATTAATGAATTTTTCAGTTTTATTCATGTAATTAATTTCATACTAGTGTGGTTGGAAGATACATGATTCAGTCATTTTAAATTTGTTAAGACTTGTTTTGTGACATATGATCTATCTTGGAAAATGTTCCATGTGTTCTTCAGAAGAATGTGTACTCTGTTGCCTTAGGATGGAATGTTCTGTAAATATCTGTTAACTCTGTCTGGTCTAACATTTCCTATCAGGTCGGTGTTTCCTTATTTTCTGTCTGGATGATCTGTCCATCAATCTAAGTCCCTACTATTATTGCACTACTATTTCTCCCTTTATTCCTGTTAATATTTGCTTTATATACTTAGGTGCTCCTATGCTGGTTGCCTAAATATTTAGTGTTACATCTTCTTGTTGGACTGACCCTTTTATCATTATGTAATGCCCCTCTTTATCTCTTATTAGTCTTTGTTGTAAAGTCTATTTTATCTGCTAGAAGTATAACTACTCCAACTTTCTTTTGATTTCCATTTGCATGAAATGTTTTTCCATCCCTTAACTTTCAGTTTTGTGTGTCCTTACATCTATAGTGAGTATCTTGTAGTCAGTATACAGATAGGTATTGTCTTTTTATCTGTTCAGCCACTCTATGTCTTTTGATTGGAGAATTTAGTCCGTTTACATGGACTTAAGGTAATTATGGATAGGTATATGCTTATTGCCATTTTATTGTTTTCTGGCTGTTTTTGTGGTTCCTCCGTTTCTTTCTTCTTTTCTTGTAGCCATACAAATTGGGGCACCAGACTGGGTATGAGCTCCTTTTTGGGTGACACCAAATATTACAGTCCCATGAGACCAGGAATGTAAGCTCCCTGGCGTCCAGAGACAGGTGATCCAGAGGAATCCCCTGAGTGGCAGCCACAAAAATCAGGATACCAGATGCATGTAAAAGCTCCCTTATGAGAGATACTGTGCTCTGAAGCACAGTTAAGGAAGAATACAAAGATGGTGCCTGTTTCCCTCTCTGGAATGTTCCAGCAGGCTCCTAGATATGTATCGAGTTAGATGATTGCCCCTGTGGCCAATGTTTTAATATAAGCAAGTGAGTCTCCTTCACTTTCAATCTGGGTGCTATCAGCTGCCTCTGGGCCCTTGGATGGGTGAGTCTGAGCACGTGAGTCCTAGGAGAACAGTTTCTCAGATCACTTTAGTCTTGTGGGTCTTGGAACACAGGCCCGTCGGTTTTCAGATGTATGTTTTGGGGAGTTGTCTCTCAAGTGTATGTCTTAAAAGTTGTTATGCCTAATGTGAGTTTGAGCCCAGTGCTCCTCACAAAGAAGCTCCGGGTTTTGAGTTCCTTCCCAGTTGTACGTCACTGTGCCAGGAGTGGGCTTTATGAGGGGATTCCGTCCCAGACTCTTCTATGTGCTTCAACATGTTTTTCTTCTGGTTTGCCCATGTGTAGTTGTCACTAAGCCAGCCTTTGTTTTTTAAGAGGAAATTGTTCCCTTGTAGCTGGACTCAATGTGTGGGAACAGGTGAGTTCAAAGTCTCCTATGGAACCACCCGGAACTACAACCTCCGAGCACTTGTTTGTATAAGTGATCCTCACAACCCCGTGGGTAAGCTGCACCTTTTTTCCTTCTAAAGGAGAAAGCAGAGGAATAATATTTCATAGGGTTATATGCTTCTTTACCAAAATTAAGAACATGTCCAGGAGGGCTATTCATCAAAAGCTCTTTTCATAATAACTATTCATTCTACCCAAGTGGAAAAAAAACCACTTAACCAGCCCCTTAACTCATGCAAAGGGAGAAAAAAGAAAATGGAAGCCTGCAGTGCAGCAGATGGAGGAATTAAGTAGAATGGCTGACCAATCGACACTAAAATCCATGAAAACAATTTTAAAAAGCACAAAAAGTAGCATTTTATTCTACTTTAAATATTGGTTATAGCTTAACTAAGCAACGTATTTTACTGGATCTAATTTCATCTAGAAATAATTTTTTGACCACCTTTTTTCAATAGGCTAGTGTTGAAGCCACTTTATAATTCACTTTATAAACATACCTTTGCTTTATACAAAAGCAAGGTGTCCAAAAGACTATCAACAAGGTAATTTTTTCAGTTGAAATTACACAATACTGCCAGACAGATAATATCTTGATCACGTCAGTGGCTCTCTGGTACTTAACTGAATAAAAGTTAAGCTCCTTGCTCTGGCAGTGAAGACCCCTACAATGTACCTACTTTAAACTTGCCCTATTTACTAAATCTGACAAACTCAGTCTTTCTAGCTCAGTCAAACATTACCCTATCCATGTGATAATAACAGCTCACAGCCAGAAGAAACCTTTTCCTCTCTGAGATTCCACACCCTTCAGCTCACCATTCACAGGGCATTTCTCATGGCACTGATTTATGTACATGTCTTATCAACTTTAGTATACTGAAACCCTAAGCCTAGGTATGCATGTATGTATGCATGTGCTTTATTTATTATTGGACACAGTAGGCACTTGAAAGTATTTTTCTACAATATGTCCTCCTCCACAGAAAAATATTTTAGGCTGGGAAGGAGCGGAAAGAACGAAAGGAGGCACAGTGGTCCCTTGTCAATCTCTATGACTTACACATGTACGCTGTCTAGTTTATCAAAAGCTTTCACATACATTTATCTCCATGACATAAATAAATACCAAAGGAAAATGAACAGTGTTTAAGATCAAGGCTATTAGGAAAAATTTACAAAAAATAGAGACAAGGAAATGGCTAGCTTTGCAAAAGTAACAAAAGGTTAATTTAAGGAAATTTTAAAAGGCTAAAACAGATTAAATGGAGAAAGTCCATAGAATTTTGGAAAGCTACAGAAGTTCTAAATTAGACTCCAATGAGCAGAAATGAAGACAATGAAAGACTTCAGAGAAGTGATACAGGGAGAGCCCCACGGTCTGCAGCATCTCTAGTCAGTTTGCGGTGCTTCAGAGCACGAACCCAGAGAATACCATGTTGGTGACTCAACAAAACATGGTCTGAGATCCATGAGAAATGGAAACCATTTTTGGCACAGCTTGGAAAAGCCGGATGCTGGTGGCATCAGGAAGATGTTAAGTCTTTGAAGAACTCTGTAGAAGGTGATTTGGGTGAAAACAAGAGATATCACAAAATTCTTAATTGTGGCTTCACATGTTGATACTTTGGATATTGTGGAGTAGGATTCCCAATGTGATTCTGAACAGATACATTTTCTCTGTCTACACTTGGGTTCCCATCCTCATTGGCTGCCTCTGACCCTACCTTCCTATCCCCAACCAACACACCAGTTCTGAAAACATGAGTGAAATTTGTTATAAATATCTGGCATGACTCCTCTAACTTGGAGGAAGCTTAGCTGGTATAAGCTGTGGTGCAACTTGGCTCTGAATTGGGAGAGAGGCATACAGGTGCTGTCTTAGCACTTTGTTAGGCCCAAGATAACGAAGAGGTGAGAAACAAGCTGTTCAACAACACAGGATTTCTACCAAAATTCATCATCATTTTGATCTGACTTGATCAATTCATTTATTTACCAGAACGTGAAAGGTTTATCCCATAAAAGGAGCAAAATTAATGGGAACAAATATAATATGGACCAAAGAATGAAGTTACATGGATGGAGCAATCTCACAAATCTAATTAGAAGCTGCTTAAGGCATTCTTACAAGTACTATGCTGGTGAAGAAATATGGATTCTCCCACCCCAAATCTGACAACCCTATGTATTTGGTAATAAATACATTAGACCGACCCAGAATCTAGAACCTCAGAGAATTAGACACAAACACAAATAGCCTTAGAAAGTCCTCAGAAATCTAGACCACGTCACATTTTCAGAGTTATGGAGGTCACCTCACTGGTGTACTAAATAAACGTTTATAGCACCTACACACAAGGCACAGTGGGGAGTATAATATGGCACAGATCTGACCAAATGGTGAAACATTCGTTATAGGCAATATGGTCAGAGCAGCAGCCCCCACATCAGAGCCATCTTTCCAGGAGACGTCATCAAGTGCTGGCTGGAGGTGGTCAGCCAGTCTGGAGGCTCATTTCAGTCCAGTAGGTGAGAACAATCATTTCATGTCCTATCTCTTCCAGACAACTCTCCCAGAGCCTCCTATCAAACAAGCTGTTTCCCAGCCACCTTCTAGAATGTAGAAGACAATGCATCCCTCCAGACTCGGCCTTCTAACACAAGATGGCATGTAGCGGTCAGTAAAGCCTCAGCCCAGTTCTGTGAGGAATGAACAAATCTGGCATGTATGACGTGGCTCACTGTGATAGAACTTTCTTTCCAACATGGCTCCTCCGGTGTTGAACAAGGTATGAAGTTCGGGTGAAGCCTTTCCCACATGTGTCACACTGATAGGGTTTCTCACCAGTGTGGATTTTCTGATGTTCGATAAGGCTTCTACTCCGAGTGAAACTCCTGTCACACTCGTTACATGTGTAAGATGCGGGAGCCTCAACGTTTTCCCACCGGCTTTCCACCCTCCCCTGACTCTCCCAGGTCCCTGCACATTCACGATCCTGCACAGTTTTATCGCCGTGGATCCTCTGGTGTCTGAGGAGATGTGAATTCCGCCTAAAAGCTTTGCCGCACATGTTGCACTGGTACGGCTTCTCCCCTGTGTGGATTTTGTGATGTTCAAGGAGGCTGCAACTCTGGCTGAAGGTTTTCCCACACTCCTCACACTCGTAGGGCTTCTCCCCAGTGTGGGTTCTCTGGTGTTTGATGAGGTTTGAGCTGTGACTGAACACCTTGCCACACTCCTCACACTCATAGGGTTTCTCCCCAGTGTGGACTCTCTGATGGATGACGAGGGCAGAGCTCCCGATGAAGGTCTTGCCACAGTCTTCACATTCATAGGGTTTCTCCCCGGTGTGGATTCTCCTGTGTTTAGTCAGGCCTGAACTCTGAGCAAAACTCTTTCCACATTCATGACAGTAGTGCCGCCTACTTCCTGTGGCAGTTTTCTGCTTTCTCGGGAACCTGCCCTCCTGTTCGCCAGCTTCGGTGCCTTCAGGAATCTGGGCAGTGTCTTCACGCAGGGGGCGTGGTATTCCCCCAGCCTCTTGTACTGGCCGGACCTCGTCCACAGGCAGGGCCCGGATCTCGGCCTCTGTTTCACCACCTGAAATAACAAGTGGCCACACGTGGTCAGTGATGCCCTGCCACGCAGGAAAGCTGTGACTACAGTTCCACATACGCGGGGATGAGGGTTTCCGTACAAGAACGAGGATGGGGACGAAGGGGAGAACGGGTGCTGGGGAGGAAGGAGACTGAGAACGGGCCTGGGGTCATTGGAAGCAGGGTGATGGGGGGTGGAGGAGGGTGGGCAGGACCGTGCTGGGGACACTCGCAGAGGCTCGAAGTCCTGAGGACGAAGGCAGGGCCCTGCACTGGGGCTGGACTCGAGGAGGGCTGGGCAGATGGCAGCGGTAAGCAGGCACGCGTGAGGACTTGGAAGTGTTCCGTGCGACACAAGGAGAGCAGGCACGTAGAAAGCGATCGTCAGTCTGGGACGGTCCTCTTGGCTCTTATCCCAGACGAAGACAGGGGCCCCGACACGACGGGCTTCGGTGCTGACAGATCTGAGCCAGACCTCCTGCTGCACCATGGTCGAGCTGCACGAGCTCAGACGGGTCAGGCTGTCCCGTGTGTCCTGCACCCCGATCTCTAGCTCACTTCTCGCTCTCGCCCTACAGTCCCACGGCCCATTTCCTGAGGACACCCCAGCTCTCGTCCTGTGTCGGAACTAGCAACAGAGAGGGGACCAACGGTGACAGCCCTACTAGGAGCCAGGACTGTGCTCGGGGCTCTCCCTGCCGTGTCCCACTTAACCCGGCCAGGACGCAGCAGGAAAGGGAAGGGAGCCGGGCCGGGAGGGTGAAAGATCGGGTCACGCACGTGGTTAGTAGCTGGGTTCAGAAACGGCGGCTCTGAACGCAGACAGAATTCAGACAGCGTCTTACGGCCCAGTAGGTTCTAACCGACAAAGGAAGCCACGAAAGCCTACGACGAACCAGCCCCCGTCAGTCTTACCCGGGGAGGTCAGGCCGCCGGGGTTCTCCCGCCCTTCATCTCCGTGGAAGCTGCCCTGAGAGGAATCGAGCTGCGCCCAGCCAGAGGAGAAAGCCAGGGCCACGTCTTCCGTTTTCAGCAAGCCCTGAAACGGCACACGGGCCTCCTAGTTCCTCTTGCCCAGAGTCCCTCCCGGAGCCGGGGGCTGCGCAGAGGGGCTCAGGCGGTGAGGGGACAGTCCCTGAAGGCTCCGCAGACCAAGCCAGCGCGGCACCTAACGCTACTTCTCCCGGTCTTAAGTGACGGCTTCATCAACAAAACCACTGCGGAAGTAGAGTGACAGCACGTGAGGACAGGTGTCTCCACACAAGTGCTCCAGACACCGCTGTCTTCACACAAATACGCCAGTCGCCCGTGTCTCCACACAAATACTCCGGACGCCCGCGTCTCCACACAAATAAGCCGGACACCCTGGTCGCCACGCAAATAATCCGGACACCAGGGTAGAAGGTAAAGAGATTTGTAAAACGAAGGCCACGCCACTGCAAGGACCGGAACTGACCCCCGCTAGTGATGTGGCTGATTTGTATTAACAGTTATGCAGATACACTGAAACGTGGGTCTGAAGTGAGGAAAGTCAGGGAAGCCAGTGGACACCACAGAGCCTCCAGGGCGTGAAGGACCGGGTAAGAAGTTCAATCCAGTTTAAGTACAGACTGTTGCGGTCGTGTGACTAGTTGAGACACGTGGGCATGCCGTATCCGTCCCGGCAAGCTTAGGGACCACGTGGTTACCCCCCGGTAACAGGGCAGGAAAGCAAAAGAAAACCTTCGGAACAAAAGCACCGTCGCAACAAAAGCTTCAGTTTGCTTTTGCAGAATCACCCTTACTGATGAAGAAGATCCCACTGAAGAAGGGGCTGGCCAAGGACACGGAGTAGGGGTCTGGGAAACAGCACCCAAGCTAGTCATGAAATAGGACGAGGCTCCCAACTAGGCACCAGGAAGTCAGACAGCGACAGATGACACTAGCATACACGAGAAAGTTGACATCCCATCTGGCGTTTGGCTGGAGGATGTAGACGGGGAGGGGGCGACCCTCCCAGGATGCACCCCGGTAGCGAGGGGCAGGGAGGGGCTCCAGCTCACCTGGGGCTCTGGGGGCAGCCTGGCCGCCACCACTGCGTCTCCTCTGCAGCGCCCTCCCGGGGCAAGCCCAGGACCCTGGAGAACTAGGAAGGAAAGAAGCTCTGGATGAGACGTCCCTGGCACTCAGCCTCCCTGGCCTGCGGAATCCAAGCTCAAACACTGGGCCTGGAACTTCGTACAGCGTGTGCCTTCCCAAAGGCCCGATCCCTACCCGCTCCAGTCCCGGGGCCTAGAGACCTGTGCTGTGCTCTGCCGACACACAAAATCTATGCAAAAACGGCAGGATCCTTGGAAGGGATGGTGAGTTTAAACCACATAAAACAAGCTTTTCATCTGAAGATACTCTGGGTTTTGCTTGCGAAGGGGAGAAAAGTAAGATTTCGGTTAAAATGCCTTCAGGGGTCAGTAAGGGCTTTCTGCTTTGGTTTGGAAGAACTAGAGTCAAAATAAAGCTGGAACCAGAAGGCAGAAATGGGCATCTGCTTGTACAGAACTTGCTCAGCGTCCAGAAGAACCCGAGGTCTCCCTGGAGGAGGCAAACTTTACATGGAGCACAAAACAGCTGGTTTAGCTAGAGCCCGTGTTGGAAGTCAGGACTGCGTGTTGGCCGGCGTCTCAGTGCTGTGTGTCTTGGGACACGTTCAGGGCACGTGAGAAGACACCGCAGGACATACAGCCAGTCCTGTGGAATAAACCCTGCTATTTTCATAAGAGACCCAGGGTTGAGACATTTATACTCTAATCCGCGGTAGTCCTGTAGTCTGTGGGATATTCCGACGGGCTTTACAGAGTCTGTTCGTTTTCTTCTTGGCACTTACCACTACTGGAAGCTGTACTGTCGTGTGTATGTGCTGTCTTCCCCACTCGAATGTAAACCCCAGTGCCACCAGGAAGGACTCTGTCTCACCAGCGGCCGGTCCTCAGCACCAACCACACTGGCTACCACGTAGGAGGCATAATTACGTGTTAAATGAATGGGGAACCGATTCTTTCCAAACCACCGTTTCAAATTTCCCTTTCAGTCTCAAAGTAGAGTCCGTCAGTGATGGCCAAATAACGTCGCGGTCAGCGCCCCTATCAGATGATCGTCAGTGAAGCTGGACGAAGTCTGCAGGTTCACGCGCCCAGAAGAGAACACTCACCTGTGCCTGGTAAGGCCCGTGATCCCAGAGATTCATGCTTGAGCAGAGCCCTCACCGGCTGGAACTGGGCACTCCGTGATCCGCGGGAAGGTGTCAGTGCTGCCATCTCGCAACAGACAAGCTCTTGGCCCTGGTCACCACCTGGGACCTAGAGGTTATTCATTCCTTTTCATTATTTGTCAGACATTTCTGGAGCACTTCCCATGTGCCTCAGAGTTTCCAGGGGCACGAAAAAGATTAACTCAGGTAACACAGACAACAACCTTGAGGTGGGTACCGTTACCGTGATCGTTTCACCGATGAGGAAGCGAAGGCACACAGAGTGTAAGTTTTCCCAAGGTCACCCAGGTAATAAGTGGCGGTGCTAGGATGGGCGCTCAGGCAAGGGGACCCCAGAGCCCGTGCTCTTTGCCATTACCAGGTGCTCCCACACTGTATACGTTGTGCTTTTACAAAGACTTTTGGGAACCGGTGCTGGCTCTCAAAATACTCCTATCTTATCTGGCAAGTGAGGGTAATAATTTCTCGTTTATAGGGTTTTGTTACTGGTTTTGAGAACCAAGAAAGATCACAGAATGTGAAATCACCTAACGCAGGACTCACGGTCTATCCCCACTAAAAGGTGGCTTTCATGCATTTATGGGCAAATTGCAGTTGTCAAGTTACTTTCTCACGTGCAGCTCAGAACTCCCCACATCTTCTGTAATGACTGAGGAGGCTGAAGCTAAGAGACTTGAAACGCCTTCACTGTGAAGGGCTCGCGGGCAGCGGGCCCCAGTGCAGACCCGGATCTCCTGGTCAGTGGTTAGGAGGCTCTGGCTGCAGTCCCCTGAAGGAACATTAACTGGTGCACAGAGGACACCACCTTAGAACAGACTGGCAAAGCAAGAAGAGGTGGGGAGATCAACCTGTTTTCCACCGGGGGTGTTCTCTAGCCTGGGGTCCTTGGACTCCTCCCATGTGGTCCATGAACTTGGAATAGGAAACGAGTAGTTTTATTGTTACCAGCCTCTAAGGGAACGTGGCCTTTCCTTCTATTAGAAATTGAAGCAGCGATCATGTGGCATAAGCCACCGCACTTCGCCACCAATAGAAATTGCAGACGTTTTGGGGCGCCTGGGTGGCCCAGTTCGAGCCCCGCATCGGGCTCTGTTCTGACACCTTAGAGCCTGGATGGAGGCTGCTTTGGATTCTGTGTCTCCCTCTCTCTCTCTGCCCCTTCCCCGCTCATGCTCTGTCTCTCTCAAAAATAAACACTTAAAATTTTTTAAAAAGAAAAATTGCAGATGTTTTCACACCACATTACGGCACAACGAACAGTGTCAAAGTCACTCATGCTTCTAACGACTTTGAAACTGCACCCGGGCTATTGGGCCTGTGCCCAGGTCTTACTGATTAGTGCAACAATTTTAAAAAGCGCACGCATAACGTTGTCACTCATTTGTTTAATGCATTGCTGGCTGTATTTCAACATAATCGAGTTCTTCTGTGATCCTTCATGTATCTAAAACTTCTGTTACGAGGAGGGGCCCAGGGACTCCACCCGAGTGGCAGAGAGAGAGAGAGAGAGAGAGAAGTTCGGATGTTGACGGCACGCCCCGCCCTCGGCCCCAAGACTTGGGTTAGAAACCGGGCTCGGGGCCTCTACCTGCGGTGTCCGCGCCTCCAGCTGTCTCTGCAGGTGCTCCAGGAGCACCACCACCTCGTCCCCGCTCTCCGGGTGCTGTCCCCGCACCCAGGCCTGGAGCTCCGCGGGCAGGATGGTCAGGAACTGCTCCAGCACCAGCAGCTCCAGGATCTGCTCCTTGGTGTGTATATCCGGGCTCAGCCACTGGCGGCACAGCTCGCGGAGCCGGCGCAGCGCCTCGCGGGGCCCCTCGGCCTCAGGGTAGCGGAAGCCCCGGAAGCGCCGGCGCGAGCGCTCGGGGCCGGGGCCCGGGCTGCCGGGCGCGGCCGTGGGGACGTCCTCCTCCTCCTCCTCCACCTTCACGGTCAGGATGCCCGTCAGCAACCCCGGCCGCTCCTCTGCAGTGCCGGCATCCAAGGTCGCGCTCGCCTTCGACTCCCCGGCCATCCCGGACCTGGCGCTGGCGGACGGCTGCGCCTCTCGGGGCGGTTCCTCTGGTGCGTAAGTCGCTCCCTCGGCCTCCCGCGGCCGGAGCCGGCCTCCGCGCCCGCCCCGGGCCCCGCAGCCAGTCTCCACACCGCCGGCCGGAATCCGCGGGCGCCCTCGGCACGGGAGAGCCGGAGCGCGGGGCCGGAAGCCGGGCCGAGCCACTTCCTGGGCCCTCTAGGCCGCGTCTCTTGGTGGCGGCCCGTTAACCCTTCGGCTCTCGGGCCGCCGCCGGCGAGACCGCGAGCGAGGACGGAGGGCTGTGGCTTATGCTTGGCTGAAGCCGACGTCTCACGTTGCAGCGAACGCGGGCCCGCTGGGCCCTCAGAGTTCTGGCCTGAGGCCTTCCCCCGCGGCCGCGGACGTCACTGGGCCAGGCTGGGAGGGCAGCGGCTGCACCTGCGCCTGACCAGCTCCGCCTCTCCTGCGAGGCCCGCCAGATGGAAGGCCCTCCCCGCCTCTGACTTCGTCCTCACTTCCATGCGTCCTTAACACCTTGTCCGCGTGAACCGCCACCAGCGCCACTGGGATCCTTCCTGCAAAAGCAACGCGGGATCCCCAACGGCCCCCACCAGTTACCACTTTCCATTTTCTGTGGCCTCCCCTCGGGCAGCCAGGCTTGTGCTGCTCCCTGCTTCCAGCCACTCCCGTGTCTTTGGCCAGGGGACCGTGTTCACTCCTGTCGCTCTCTTCTTGTTCCTTCCAGTTCCCATTCACACTCTAGCACAGCGAAAGCTACACACTCTCAAGCCACATTACCTGGGCTCCTAATCCTGGCTTTATTTGCCGCTTACTAGCTGAATGACCGCAGTTAACTATATAACCTCTCTGTGCCTGACTTTCTGAATCTATAACTGAGGATAGTAATAGTAGATAGGGATGTGAGCAGTGGGTGAGGTTTTTTATGTAAAGCTCTTAGAATAATGGCTAACCTGTAATAAGCTAGGCCTACCCTAAAACAGTAGGAAGCCCTGAATTCCTTTGAGCCAAAGGAGGCTAGATATTAAGCCAGAAGTGACAGCAGTTATTTTGCTGGACTGAGACGTCAGTGAGTCTGCTTTCTACTCAGAATGTAAGTTTGGTAGATGATTTTTAAGTGAAAAAATATCATGGTAGTACCTTCCTGAGTTTTAATTCCTCAGTCTATCTCTTCTATTAATCTCCTGGCCTGGGCATGATTACCCGGTGGGCACACTCAGCTACCTCCACCCCTGCCCAGTCCTAGGGTCTGGCAGCTGCTCACCCCGGGGCCCCTGGTACTCAAGGGCAGCAGGTGCAACCGCTTCTCCAGTCTTACATTGGTTCCTGTGTAGACTGGGGTGCGCATTTGAAATAGGCATAAAATGCCTTATGCCTTTTGCTGTCAGCTCTTTAAAAAGCCGTGTACGAGCGGACCCCTGCAGTTCAAACCCATGTTGTTCAAGGGTCAGCTGTTCTTCATTTAGTCCCATTGCTCCTGCCTTTATCAGGGTAAGAAACATAGGTTGTAGTCATAATACAAGTGTTTGTTTCCTCTTCCCAACATACATTTCAGTAATCTGGAGCATATCCATGAGATAACTCCTGTAAAAACACTGTAAAATGTAAATCAGAGCACTGTGTGGAAGTGCAAATATGAGCAGCTGAAGGGGACTGTCAGGTCATGTAAGTGTCATTAGTGAATGACTGCTTTTGTTGCTTGGTGAGTAAAGGTGACCCACATGTTTGTAAAGGCCATAAGCAAATGTAATTTGGAGGGATGTTTAATTCCAGCTTGTCCTCAGAGTTCTATATAACTTGTGTGTTAGGAATTTCTTAGTAATAAGTATAGATTGTGACAAACTAATGTTATATGGTTACTGCTGAGATACCATAAGAATTATATTCCACCCCTGTGATCTGCCAAACAGAATTACCCTAAATCTAATCATGAGGACATTATCAGATCAATTCAAACTGTCAGACATTTTACAACACAATCACCCTGGACTCAGCAAAACTGTGTCAAGTAATATTTAAAAAGTGGATGTAGAAGTGTAGGTAGAGAAACTATTCTAGATTAAACAGACTAATAAGTAATCACAATCAATGCATTTAAGGAAACTTCACTGAATTTTAATCCCATTTTAAAGACGTTATTGAGGGGTGCCTGGGTGGCTTGGTCGGTTAAGCATCTCACTTCGGCTCAGGTTATGATCTCCCGGTTTGTGGGTTGAAGCCCCACAGTGGGGCTGGAGCCTGCTTTGGATTCTGTGTCTCAGACTCTGTGCCCTCCCCCATTTGTGCTCTGTTGGCTCTCTTTCTGTCAAAAATAAATAAACATCAAAAAAATTTAAAGACATTATTGGAACAATTGAGGAATTTTGAACATATCCTGCATATTAGATAACACTACCTAATATTTAATGATAATATTAAAGTTCTTTAGAATAATGATGGCATTGTGGTTGTGAAGGAGAATGTCCTTCTTAGACATTGATTAGTGGAGTATTTACGGGTGAAGCATCATAATGCCTAACTTTCAGTGAGTAAGAAACACAATCTTAACAATTAGTGAATCTAGGTAAAGGATATGCCGGTGTTTAACTTTTCTGTAGGTTTGAAAGGTTTTTTTAATATTTGGGGGAAATTTATGTAAAACAATTTTGAGAAAGATCTTTCAATACATTTCTGTGCTCTATCTGAATGGATATTTGCTCATCTATAAGTAAAATTAAGAAAATAAGAGACTCTCACCACGAAAAGTTATGGTAGGCATTTATTTTTATTCCTATTGTCATATTTTTTACACCACTGCTTTCTCTACTAAATCAGAGGTCAACAAACTACTGCCTACAGACCAAATTGTTCCCCTGCCTGTTTTTGTATGGCCTTAGCAAGAAATTTTATATTTTTAAATTATAGGGGAAAAATCAGAAGAAGAATAAAAGTTTGTGATATGTGAAAATTAAAGAAATTCAAATTTCAGTGTCTATAAGGAGTTTTATTAGAACACATTCATGTTCATTTACATATTTTCTATAGCTGCTTTCACTCTACAATGGTAGAACTGTAATTTAGCAAAATATTATTCCTCAAAAAAATTTTTTTTACTCTTAGGGTGCCTGGGTGGCTCAGTCAGTTAAGTGTCCAACTTCAGATCAGGTCATGATCTCACAGTTGGAGAGTTTAAGCCCCGTGTCAGGCTCTGTGCTGACAGCCTGGCGCCTCCTTTGGATTCTGTCTCTCTCTCTCTCTCAGTCCCTCCTCTGCTCATGCTCTGTCTCTCTCTGTCTCTCAAAAATAAGTAAGTGTTAAAAGTTTCGGGGGGCGCCTGGGTAGCTCAGTCAGTTAAACATCCAACTTCGGCTCGGGTCATGATCACACAGTTCGTGGGTTCGAGTCCCGCATCACACTCTGTGCTGATAGCTTGCAGCCTGGAGCCTGCTTCAGATTCTGTGTCTCCCTCTCTCTGCCCCGCCCCCGCTCACACTCTGTCTCCCTCTCTCTCTCTCTCTCAAAAATAAACATTAAAAATATTTTAAAAAATTTATTCTTCCTGTTAGAAGACCTGTGTTACAAAAATGTATTTAATTATATATTTTAACAAAATTAACTTTTATTCAGTTTCTAATCAAATACTATAATACTTTATTGTCTTTCACTAAAAAACGTAAGTATTTACAATTTTATCAGTTTGGGAAGACAAACAGAATAAAAATGGAGAAAAGTGATCAAAAGACAAATTCAATGATAGAATAAATATAGCCTATTTAAATCCCTGCCTGGCCCTGTTGGCTGCTGCCGGAGTGAATTCTCAGCCTCAGAATTAGCATAGTTCAAAATCTCCTTCAGCTTCAAAACGTCCAAGGGAGAGATTTTGGTGACTTCAAAGAAGATCTGGTGAAAATACTTGGAATGCAGAGTCTCCAGCTTATTGCAAGGACACAAAATCAGCAGGATGTTCAACTGGTTGATCAAGGGGTGAAGATCAGAGGTCTTGTAGCCACTGTAATACTCCAGGGTAGGAGCCCAGTGTCTGAACTTTTTCACGTAGACAGCCAGGAGGAAGGAGTCAGCAGCTAGCTTGGAAGGGCTTTCCAGGATATAGTCCTATTCCTGCAGTCGTCTCACAGATGAAGCGGCACGGGGTCAATGCCTTCGTGCTGGCATGGAGATACCTAGTGTATCTGCACAGGAAGTGATAGGCGATGGGAATACTGATATCAAGTTTGAGAGTTTGCAGTTTGCCAACTTCCATGCATCTTGCTGATAAATATATAAAAATCTAATTTTATCTTATTCGATTTAATTTCCCACCTCATTTAGAGTCTTAGCATCAGGAAAGCACTTATACCTAAATTCTGATTTAGTTTTTCTGTCACTTTCCAAGTCTGTTAAATAACTGAGGTCAACTTAACTACAGACAACCAAGGTGATGGTAATGCCTATGTACATTTTAAGCTAAGAGAGAAATGATCTTGCATGAAATGCTAGCCATTTCAGACAGTGAACACAGTGTATGCATAAACTGGTTCCCAACCACAAAATTCCTGAAGAAATTAACCAAATTAGGAGACATCTACAAGACTGGGTTGAATGCTTCCCTGCATTTCAGGGGTAGAAACATCTGTGAATTTTAAGAATTAAAATCATGCCTCTGGTCTTCACTTGGCTCAGAGGCTGAGCTTAAACTTTTTGATTCCAAAAGTTCTGGTGCTTGCTTCCAGTAGGAACAAGTGGGGTTTTGAAGTCTATAAACGTGCTTCGCCATGAAACTGGTGGACAGGCTCCTTTCTAAGGGACCACCAAAAGGAGCACGGGAAGTAAGGGGCTCCCACCAAGGGGTGACGATAAAGAGGACCGAGGGGAGCATGGAGACTTGAAGGGTATCAAGATGGTTAAAGGCGAATACCCAAGAGGAGTAGCAGACGTTTGAACAGTATAAGGGTCACTGGCGCAAATTCCTCTATTTGTGTCCCCGAGGGCCAAGAGCAGCGCAGGCAAATCGGAACCACGAGAGGAGCGGCGCATCTCCACCAAATGCCCCAGGGAAACCTTACGGCCTGACGCCTTCCGCCCTCGCCCGCGCGCCACGCCTTCGCCTACCAACCCACCGGAAGCGGAAGCCTTGCGGGCACCGTTGCTGACGCGCCTGCGTGGGCACCGTTGCTGTGGCGCCTGCGT